AAAAAAAAAAAAAAAAAAAAAAAAAAAAAAAAAAAAAAAACCTCCTAGAACACCTTGCGTTCAGCAAGGTAACAGGATTCAAGATCACTACACAAAAATCAACTGCATTTCTATACACTAACAAAGGAACATTTGAAAACCAAAACTAAGAACTGAATACCATTTATAATCACTGTCCTCAATCTGTCCACCCCCGCTTAAAAAAATAACAAAACATGTACTGGATCTACATGCTGAAAATTACAAAATGATAATGACAGAAATCAAATAAAACCTAAATAAATGGAGAGACATACTATGTTCATAGCAAAAATGTCAATTCTCCCCAAACTGATCTATAGGTTTAATACAACTCCTATCAAAATCCCAGCAAGGTTTTTTATAGACATTGACAAGCTTATTCTAAAGTATACATGGAAAAGCACAGACCCTAGAATAGCTAAAACTATCTTAACAAAGAAGAAAGTGGGAGAAATCATTCTACTCAATGTTAGGGCCTACCATATATATACCTACAATAACCAATACTGACAGATTAATATTGGGAGAGGAATAGACATATAGATCAATGGAAAAGAACAGAGCTACCAAAGACAGATCCATACTTGTACAGACAACTGATTTGTGACAAAGTTGCAAAAGCAATTCAATAAAAGAACAACAAATGGTACTGGAGCAACTGGACATCCATAAGTCAAAAAATGAACCTTGGCCTAAACTCTACACAGATCACGTTCCTACATAGAACTCAGAACCTTGGAGACTGTGCTGCTTCCCTGACCAAGCTGGGTGGAGGGTAAATCTAACTCCTCTTTCTTTTCAATCAGATGACCTGTTTGATGAAGACCTCTGATCTTCCTAGGTAGTTACAGAACTCAGGCTGAATTAAAATACACATCAAGTCCTGAAGGAGAAGTTCTTGTACAATTTCTAAGCCTTGGTAGAACAACTGCCATTTTGGTGGTGGCAAAAGACAGCTTATCTTTCTGATACAGAAAGAGCATGGCAGAAAGAACAAAGTAGGTTTATGATCCTTGGCAAATCATAGTTTGATCTCCCAGGGCACAAATTCCTACCTAGAAGACGTGAGACATGCCACAACGACCTAACAAGGAAAGCCACATGGTGGACAGTGACTCGGTGTTGCTGGCTGAAAGGCAGAGGAGTCAGGGAGGGCCTCTGATCAGGAGGCAGACCCACACCTCAGCTCTCAGACCCTCGGTTTCCATGGAGATGATTCCTGGTGATCATATTTTTTTTTCCTTTGCATATTTACTAAGAGCTGGACCCAGCACTAAACATTCTATGTGCTTTTGTGCTGACGTCTCATTTGGTTCTTAGAAAAACACTCTGAGATAGTACTACTGTGTCCCTCATTTCACATTATTCAAAAAAAGAAAACAAAACACACCTTCCCCCTCACACCCAACTCCCCCAAAAAATGTATTTAAAAAAAAAACAAATGGAGGGGCCGGCCCGGTGGCGCACTGGATAAGTGCGCCGCTCGGGAAGCGCAGCGGCGCTCCCGCCCGAGGGTTCGGATCCCACATACAGACCGGTTCCCGCTCACTGGCTGAGCGAGGCGCGGGAGCAGCACCGAGGGTTGCAATCCCGTTGCCGGTTCCCGGTCCGGTATGGGGGCAACACTGAGGGTTGCGATCCGTTGCCGGACACGGAAAAAGACAAAAGACAAAAAAAAAAAAAAAACAAATGGAGATACTATCCCCAATTCTCTCAGTACTCCTGGGGAGACTAAATGCTCTAATGAACACAAATGACCTACACAGTTCCTACTTCCACTGGTTTTGTCAATTCCTCTGCCAATGGAATTCAAGAATGAAGAAGTCAAGAGAGAGACCACACTCCAAATGTCCTTCCCTTGACCCCTTAAGGGGGCCGGGCATCTCGTGGTGTGTGCAACATGCAGAAAGAGCAGCTCTTTGCCAATGCCAGGCCTCGCATCACTTCTGTCCTTCGTTCTTCCATCCATAATATCCAAAACAGACCCAAGCCCTGTCCTCAACGAGATCACGGGCTAGTAGGGAAGACTAACTCTAAGAAGCTAATTACAAAATACCTACTTATTAAATGCTTAAAAGGATGATGTGAAACACTAAACATGGGGGCCAGAGAGGCTTCTCCGAGGACCTGACATTTAAAACAGAACCAAAGGATAAACAGGAGTTGGCTGTGTGAGGTCGGGGAGAACACTCTAGGCAGAGGGAAGAAGTCTGAACGAGGGAAGAGGAGAATGACATGTGGCTGAGGCACATGAACTAAGGGGAAAGTGGCACAGGATGAAGTTGCAGGGGTAGGTGCTAGGCTTTATGGTCTCATAAGGATTTTATTCTTTATCCTAAGCACAATCAACAGTCACTGAACGTTGTATTTTTAAATAATTTTTAAAAAATTTTAATTGTGGTAAAATACACATCAAACTTACCATCTTAATTATTTTTAAGTGCACCATTCAGTGGTATTAAATACATTCATACTGCTGTGCAATCAACATTATCATCAATCTCCAGAACTCTTTCCATCTGGCAAAACAAACTCTGTACTCATTAAACAATAGCTCCCCAATCCCCTCTTCACCTAGTTCCAGGTAACCACCGTCTACTTTCTGTCTCTATGAATAGAGTATGACTACTCTAGGTATCTCACATAAGTGGAATCATATGGTATTTGTCTTTTTGTGACTGGTTTATTTCACCTAGCATAATGTCCTCAAGATTCACCCATGTTGTAGCATGTGTCACAATTTCTTTCCTCTTTGAAGCTGAATAATATTCTATTGACAGATGTCCATCTGTCACTGGACACGTAGGTTGCTTTCATCTTTTGCCTATTTTGAATAATACTTCTATGAACATGGGTATATAAACACCTCTGCAAGACCCTGCTTTCAATTCTTTGCTACACTTTTTTCTATAGTGGTTGCACCATTTTACATTCCCACCAATGGTGCACAAGGGTTCCAATTTCTCCATATCCTCACCAACAAATGTTTATTTTCTGTTTTTTTTTTTTTTTTAATAGTAGCCATCCTAATGGGTGTGAGGCGGTATCACTGAAAGGTTTTAAGCAAGCATTGTAACCATGATCTGATCTATGTTTTAAAAAGACTGATCCAACTGCTATGTGGGAAACCCCCAGGAGGATAGCAAGCAGGAGAATATATAAGTGATTTCACACAGAAGCTGTATGGAAGAGAGAAGGAGATGAAGAGGAGTGGCCAGAATGATGGAAGTGGGTAGTTTGAAAGTCTGAGAGGAGTGGAATGGGTTTAAAACAGTTATTACTGATTAGATGCAATTAAGTACAACAGGGCTTCTGGGCAATTATGAGGTTCAGTTAAGGTCTGATGACTGTGAATGCACAATACTAAGCTTACTCTAAAACCCTGAGGAGGTAATGAGGATGGGGAAAAAGTTCCTAAAAAGGAATAAAGCAGAAATAAAAGGTTAATGTGCATATCAAATAGACAACTTCATTATGCTGATGAAAAAACAAACACTAATCCAAGTGCCTTTTTGGCAACGGATTTTTTTTTTTTTCTTCACTTTTTGTCTTTTTCCGTGTCCGGCAACGGATCGCAACCCTCAGTGTCGCCCCCGCACCGGACCGGGACCAGCAACGGGATCGCAACCCTCGGTGTTGCCCCCATGCCTCGCTCAGCCAGTGAACGGGAACCGGTCTGTATGTGGGATCCGAACCCTCAGCGGGAGTGCCACCACACTCCCAAGCGGCGCACTATAGCAGTGCGCCACCGGGCCAGCCCAATCCAAGTGCCTTTTCAACACAATACTTCAACTATATACATTCTCAGTGGGACATAATCAAAGAACAAAAGTGCTGGAAAGAAATCATTTGGAACTTTACTTAGCAGGTTCTTAATAGGTACTACTGTTAGCAGTTCAAAAACTATTTGTGTGTATTTTAGGATCAAGCACATGAGTAAATATACTGATGCTGTTGAGGATTGGGGTTCTCACTATAGAAGGAGAGAGATGTAAGTATGGAATAAGAGAAGAAGAATCCTGGCTGTTACACTAAAAACAGAGGTGTCAGTTTGATCTCATAATTTAAGGAAAAAAGCTTCCTATTTTTATACACTGAAAAGGCCTAGAATCATACCATTCTCCGAGGGTACTTCAAAAATTCATGGAAAAATTTGTATTACCTTTTAATTCTATTCTTCCGCAAACTTTTGAAGTACCCTCATATGATACCGATTATATAACATTCTAGAAAAGGCAAAACTACAGAGACAATAAGATCAGTGGCTGCCAGGAGTGAGGCGGAAGAAGTAATGAATGAAAGGAGCATAGAGCATAGAGGATTTTTAGGGCAGTCAAACCACTCTGTATGATACTATAATGGTGGATACACATTAAACATTTGCCCAAACCCTTAGGATGTACAACACCAAGAGTGAGACTGTGGACTCTGAGCAATAATGATGTGTCAATGTAGGCTAGATTGTAACAAATGCACTGCTCTGGTGCAGGATGTTGTGGGGAAAGGCTTTGGGTGGGCCCAGCAGGAGGTATACGGGAACTCTCTATACTTTCTGCTCAATTTTGTTGTGAAACTAATATTGTTCTAAAAAATAAATTCTATTAAAAAAAAAAAGTTGGGGGGCCGGCCCGTGGCTCACTCGGTAGAGTGCGGTGCTGATAACACCAAGGCCGTGGGTTCGGATCCTATATAGGGATGGCCGGTTTGCTCACTGGCTGGGCGTGGTGCTGACAACACCAAGCCAAGGGTTGAGATCCCCTTACCGGTCATCTTTTTAAAAAAAAAAAAAAAAAGTTGGGGGTAGAGTGGGGATCTGATTAGCCACACTTCCTTCTAGGAGCCTACTTTAACTGAATCACTTGGCCTGGCCCCACCTCTACTCTGTAGCCACTGTAACACTTGTGGATTCTTGATTGCATCATTTTATTTCATGTGGCATTTCCTATGTGAGTATTCTTTTCAAATAAATTAGCAACAGAAAGGAGAATTGAGAGGTGACTATGCCTAGGAGTAAAGGATTCTTCTGTTCACCTTCCTTGATTTTTCAGGACACTTCCACTCCATTCCTTATATCTTGCCATTAATTCTCTTCTTTTTCTTTTCTTTTTTCCCTTTTTGTCTTTTTTACTGACCGGTAACGGGATTGCAACCCTCGGTGTCACGCCCGTACCGGGGACCGGCAACGGGATCACAACCCTCGGTGTTGCGCCCGCACTGCACTCAGCCAGTGAGCAGGAACTGGTCTTCACATGGGATCTGAACCCTCGGCGGGAGCGCCGCCGCACTCTCAAGCGGCACACTCTCCAGTGCGCCACCGGGCCGGCCCAGTTCTCTTCTTTTTCCCAGAGAAAAGACATCATTTAGAAGTACCTGTGGAAGTCGCCCAGGTGTTCTGCATCGATATAATCGGCCAAGTTCAGGGTCAAGTCTGTCACTTGCTGTGAGCCATATTCCTAGAAAAATGAAAATAGAAAATGAGAGACTGAGTATATTTCTGGGCTAATGAATGTGTGGGTGGGAGGACAGCAACAATGAAATATTCAACCTAAGGAAATACTCACATATGTGCACAAAGAGACATATATAAGAACTGTTTGCAATATATGAAATACCCTCCTAATGCTTGGGGACTTCTTTGACTTAGGAATATTGTCTTTCTAAGGCAGAGGACAGGAAACCCACTTCCCAGGCTTTTTCACAGCTCTGGCACAGGCATGTAATTGAGGTGTCAAATGGATGCACAACTCTGACTTGGAGGTGAGCAACATGTAGAAGCAGGCCCAGCAAGGTGCAGATATCTTGCTGTAATGGATTGAATTATATCCCCCCAAAACTCAATGAAGCTTGAATTGTGTCCCACAAGTTTTATGTATTAGAAACTTAGCCCCCACTGTGACTGTTAACAGGGTGGGAACTCCTATTATGGTAATTGTAAGATGGGGCCTTGAAGAGGTGATTGGGTTGTAGGACCATGCAGTAATGGATGGATTAAAAATGGTGGTCAGGGGCGTGGTTCTAAGGGCTTTAAAAGAAGAGGAGAGTCTCTCTTGCTCTCTCTGCTTCCACCATCTTGCAATGTGAAACCCCTGGGTCACTGTCACCACCCCCAGATGGACTTTGGACTTCCCGGCCTCAGAAACTGTAAGCAATAAGTTTCATTTTCTTAATAAATTACCCAGTTCCAAGTATTTTGTTATAGCAACACAAAATGGACTGATACACTTGCTAATGAGGATAGCAGCAGAAGCCACATCAGTGGCTGATTAAAAGGGGCACCAGGGCTGGCAGTACCAGCCAGTACCTAAAGCTTGCGGG